GCACTTCTTACGGACTGTACAAATTCTTCTTTCTTATTCTGAGGCCGCTCACTAAAGGCAGCGTGCATGCGGGGCTATTCTTCTTCTCTATCACTCATGTGTTCCCCATCATAACAACCTTCTCTTCTCTCATCTTTTTATATTTCTTTAAATAAAATTTCAGATTTGAATTGTTCTTTAATTATATTTCTTAAAACAATAATTCTACATTTAATTTCTTTTCTTTCTTTCTCTTTATTCTTTAATGTTCTCATACATGTATATGTGCATGTAAATATGCTCATTCTTTGCTATTCTTTCTAAATTCAAATGCTCAAATGTATGAATGCATTATGGCATATTAAGATATCATTATGGAACTAATGTTCTCTACCAACAACATTTCCATAACAAAGTAATAATCCAACATACTCATGTATATGCACTTTCTTTGACATTTCATCAAACACCTTACATGCACATACAAACCCTAAATTGGTTACACTTCCACCCATTTCTCAAGCCACCAAAATTGGAGCAAGAAACTCCCTAAGGCCAACAATCAACCTAGCCGAATTTCATCCTCCATCTTTCCACATCCATTCTTTCATTTTTCATCCAAAATCCCATCAACTCAACACACACAAATACATCACTTCTCATCACATACTAATAAATCAATTCTCATCACATACTAGTAAGTCACTTCTCGTCACATACTAATAAATTGCTTCTCATCACATATAATAAATTACTTCTCATGGCCATGAAATTCACATATCAAACAACCTCAATTTTCAATCCATAATTCTCATCATCCAAACACACATACAACATATAAGAATTTCTAGTATTTATCCAATCAAAGCTAAAGTTGGATTTACTTACCTTGAATTTGAGCAATTCCAACACTATAATCTCTCTTTGGTAGAATTCCCCTTCCTCTTAAACCCTAAGCATATAAAACCATAAGAATTCAAAACTTTAAAATTAAATCTCACATCTTGGTACAAGAATCTTACCTTTGGATGTTTATGATTGAAAATCTATCAAAATCTAGCCAAAATCCTATGAATTTCCTTGGAATTAATGGAAGAAAAAATTGAGAGAATTTAGGGTGAAGGTGGCGTGAACTATGGGTAAAGTAGCTAGGGTTTCTTTTCTTGAACTCTTATTACATAATATATATAGTTTCCCATTTTACCCTTACACTTTCTAAAAATTCCATCTATGTCTCTTAGTCAATTACAAAAATGCCCTCATTTTTATTAACTTCTCCATGTTATTCTACTTCTTTTCACTCCCTACTTTTTCAACTAATTATGAGTGAAAAGACCATCTTACCCCTAATGAAGGTTTAAGGAATTTTCTTCACACTTGTTCAAGATAACTTTAACAAAATTCAACTAAGGGTATTAGGGCATAAATAAAGCTACATACCTTGATGTGGGCGTTACAATTCTCCCCGCTTATAAGAATTTCGTCCCCGAAATTCAAAAGAACAATTTGGGATAGCAGCTCCGCATATCTTTTTCTACTTCCCATGTAGTTTCTTCTTCTTTATGATTCCTCCATAAGACTTTTACTAATGGAATACTCTTGTTTCGGAGCTCTTTAACCTTTCTATCCAATATCTGTACTAGACTCTCATCATGAACAAGACTCTCTTCTAAGTCCACTTATTCTACGTTTAATATATGGGAGGGATCACTGACATACCTTTGAAGCATGGAGACATGGAACACATTATGCATTTTATCCATATTTGGTGGTAGCGCCAATTTGTAAGCTACCTTTCCCACTCGTTGTAACACTTCAAAGGGACCAATGTATCTCGGAGCTAGCTTTTCTTTTCCGCCGAAACGCATTACTCGCTTGTAGGGGGAAATTTTAATAAACACCTTGTAACCCACTTTAAATTCTACCTCTTTTCTCTTTAAATTCGCATAACTCTTTTGTCTGTCTTGGGCTTGTTTCATTCTATTTCTTATTAAATTGATATCTTCTATCATTTTCTGAGTGATCTCAGGCCCAAGAGCTGTTTCTAGAGCATCTTTCTCTCCTACTTCATCCCAATGCAGTGGAAACCTACATCGTCTACCATACAGAGCTTTATAAGGAGCCATCTTAATGGTGGACTAATAATTGTTATTATAAGTAACATCTCATGCCAGGCCATTTTATAATCTATACAGCATGCTCTCAACATATCCTCAAGTACTTGATTTGTTCTCTCAGTTTGGCCATCTGCCTGAGGGTGGTATGCTGTACTAAATGCTAACCTGGTACCCAAGTTTCTCTATAGACTGGTCTATAAAACTGAAACAAATCTGGAATCTCTATTTGATACTATGGTCTTGGTGTTAGTGTATATTAGTGTATGCCCTAGAAACCATTCGTGTTGTCGGTTTCAGAGCATTTTGTCTTATATCTATATATATCATAAATAATAGAAGAAAGAGTTCTTCAATTCATATATGTAAATTGCTTCCTTTATTCAGTCATGCATTTAAAATAAAGTATGTATATGAATTGTCCAGATGATTCATTTAATAGGTAAATGAATTATCGAAAAGGGTTCCCTACGGAAGCAATATAAATTTGGGCAACTATATTGTACAGTAGGCATACCGGATGCTTCCGAAAGATATCATGAGTTGATATAAGTACGGATGACGATGATAGTCATGTCACTGGGGCATTGGTATGGATTAACGGTTGGTGAACTGTTTTTCGAACGTGACCGAATAACGACAAATCACTTGGAAAAGCATGTAGTCAATGATTTATCGTTTGGTTATATCAGTGCACGATGTAGTCCTTTGACCTGAGACATTGTAGTCGGATCCGATATGGATGCGTATGGTTCATACGGTGTATAAGTACGAGACTAATCATGTTTCGTACAATAAAGCCTATTTGGTCATGCGTTGTTCATATGCGGAAACGAACGATGGTCAAGAGGGGATCCATTGACTCGGAAATATAGGATCGGGAGTACCGCTGACTCCATCCGGATTCGAGTTCCTAGACGAACATCGATAAATGTCGGAAAACTGAATCTCTGGCCAGAGTCTATTATTAGTCATACAAAAGTAAGTTTGTGATGACAAGTTCCGGACATATTGATCGACAATTCGGTAGAAGATCGAGTTTAGGATTTTGACGTTCCATGAATCCATACTCGATTAGGATATCTCAATGGAGGGACTTTACCTGCATGGTACGTATGATCTGAAATGGGTTCGATGAAGTATTTCTTCATCGTGGTTTAGGGACTATGGCACATTGCTAGATGTTTACCATAGTCGTTGGGCCTCCGGACGGGTTTCCGGATTCATCCAGAACCGGCTCACGGCTAATCCACGGTGGACCTACATGGTCACACCAATAGCCTTGAGAAGTTAGAGAATGATGAGAGAGAGAAATGATTATCCGAAGAGGGCTAGCACCTTCCGAGGGTAATAACGGGATTTCTATAGTAATAGTTACATAGAAAACAATTTGTGACATTTTAAGGGTTAAAATGGTCAAGCAATAATTAATTATATTTAATTATTATATCTTAAAGTGTTAAGATTAATGAGATGAACAAAAATAACCTTTTAATAGTTAAAGGGTAAAAAGGGTAAATTTATGGGTTGTTAATGTAAACTAGTTTAGTTTACATGGGCCCTTGAATAATATTGATTATTCAAAGGGTAGCATATTAAATTCGTGGGGTCCCTTTATAAAATAAGATTTTATTGGGCTTGGAAGTGAAAAATAAATAATTGCAATATTGCCCAAGTATATATAAGTGCAAAAGGTTGCATTTTTGTTCATTCTTGACTAGTTCACAAAAACACAAACCAAAACTCTCTCTCAAACCCAAGGCCACTCTCTAATCTCTCAAGGTGGTGTTAAAGTGTGGAGGTTTCATCCTTTTGAAGCTAATCTTCATCAATCCAAAGCAAAGGAGTAGGTATAATCTTTTTTCCAAGCTTTGTTTGTAAACCGGTTTTAGAATCCATGCTTTCATTCTCCATCTCCACCACTCTTCATGCATGCTGATTCTTTCACTTGGGCCCCCCATGGAGTCTAACTATCTCTCTGATATAAATCTGGACCAGTTGATTTGCTGTAGTACTATCCTTTACTGGAAGAAAATGCGCTGATTTGGTTAATCTGTCCACTATTACCCATATCGCATTATACCCATTTTGAACTCTTGGAAGGCCTATAATGAAGTCCATTGATATATTTTCCCATTTCCATTAAGGAATGCTGAGTGGCTGAAGCAATCCCGATGGCCTCTGGTGTTCTGCTTTAACCTGTTGACAAATTAGGCATTTAGCTACATAATCTCCGATATCTTTCTTCATACCTAGCCACCAATAACTCTTCTTTAGATCTTGATACATCTTGGTTCCTCCAGGATGAGCAATATATGGGGTGTCATGAGCCTCCTCAAAAGTCTTCTTTTCCAACTCAAAATCTTGAGGAATGCATATACGATTCCGAAAATGGAGGACACCATCTAAAAGGTGAAATTCTGATATCTCGCCTTCCAACACTTGTCGACTTATTTTTTGACACTACTCGTCGACAATTTGCTTTTCTTTAATCTCTTCCAGTAAAGTAGGCTGAATTTCTAACCTGGCAATCCTTCCTGGTATCTCCTCAATCTGTTCCCTGCACAATTCTTCCAATAATTCTTTCTGCGTTGTGAGTCGGGACAAATAGGCTTTTCTACTCAAGGCATCAACTACTACATTAGCTTTTCCAGGCTGATACTTAATCTCACAATCATAATCTTTTACTAGCTCTAACCATCTCCTTTGTCTCATATTCAACTCCCTCTGGGTGAAGAAATACTTCAAACTCTTATGATCAGTATAAATATTGCTCTTTGCTCCATACAAGTAATGCCTCCATATTTTTAATGCAAAAACTACAGCAGCCAACTCTAAATCATGCGTAGGGTATCTCGTCTCATACTCTTTCAACTGTCGAGAAGCATAAGCTATTACCCTACCTAACTACATTAACACTGCACCAAATCCTTGAAGTGAGGCATTTGTATAAATATCATAGTCTACACCCTCCTGTGGTAATACTAGGCTAGGAGCTTTGGTTAATCTTCTTTTTAACTCTTGAAAAATTTCTTCACAGGCATCCGACCATATGAAAGGAGTTTTCTGTTTAGTAAGAGCTGTAAGCGGCTTAGCCAACTGAGCAAATCCTGCTATAAACCGTCTATAATAGCTTGCTAGCCCCAAGAAACTTTCAACCTCCTTTACTGTCTTTGGCTTTTGGCACTCGAGAATTGTATTCACCTTACTAGGATCCATTGGTATACCTTCCTTTGAGACAGTATGGCACAGGAAGATAACTTGATCCAGCCAAAACTCATACTTAGAAAATTTTGTAAACAGTTTCGTATCTCTTAATCGTTGTAGCACAAATCTTAGGTATTCTTCATGCTCCTCTTTTGTCTTAGAATAAACCAAGATGTCATCAATAAACACCACTATAAATCAATCAAGGCAATCGTGAAACACTCGGTTCATTAAATCCATAAAGACTGTTGGGACATTGGTTAACCTAAAGAGCATCACCACAAACTCATAATGCCCATATCTAGTCTGAAATGCAGTCTTGGCAATATCTTGCTCTGCCACTCTTACTTGATGATAACCCGACCTCAAATCAATATTTGAAAACACTGTTGCTCCTTTCAATTGATCAAATAGTCATCTATGCGAGGTAACGAGTACTTGTTCTTCATTGTCACTTTATTCAACTCTCTGTAATCTATACACATCCGTAGGGATCCATCTTTCTTTTTCACAAATAGGATTGGAGTACCCTAAGGAGAGTGGCTGGGTCGAATAAAGCCCTTATCTAAAAGTTCTTGAAGCTGCTTCTTTAATTCCTTAAGCTCGGTTAGGGTCATTCGATAAGGGGCTTTAGAAATTGGTGCTGTCCGTGGTGCCAACTCAATACTAAATTCCACTTCTCTTTCCAGAGGTAAACCCGAAAAATCTTCCAGAAATACATCTAGAAACTCTCGGACTACTGGCACCTTCTGAATCTCTGGTTGTGGGACATCACTGCTTTGCACTATATGAGCAATGTACCTAGAATACCCTTTTTTTAGCATCTTTCTAGCCTTTACGCTGCTAATTAACATACTAAGCTGGTGGCCCTCACCAAAACTAAACTTAACTTATCACCATCATTAAGATTAAATCTTGCTTTTTTCTTTCGGCAATCAATCTGTACTCCATATCTCTCTAGAAAATTCATATCTAAAATAACATCAAAATCGGGCATATCAAACACAATCAAATCTACCAGCAACTCCCTTCCATGGATCACTACGAACTCCCCTGGAAGCATTTCGTGGGTTACCACACTAACATCGTTTGACAATTCTATCTTAATGGGTTGTCCCACTATAACAGGTTTCAAACCTAATCTCTCTAAGATCCCATGTGTAATAAATGAATGTGTGGCTCTAGAATCAATTAATGCATAAAGAGAAACTGAATGAAATAATAACTTACCAAAAACTGCAGATGGGCTAGACTCGGCTTCACTCTGTGTTACTATAAACACCCGAGCATTGGTACCTCTGGATGTCTATGCTGCGGGTGTAAGAGGGGCTTTGCAGTCTTTCATCATGTGTCTCGGTTGTCGACACTTGTAACATACATTCCGGCCCAACTCTCTTAGGCACTCTCCCGGATGATTTCTCCCACACTTCTAACATGGGGGAAAATTAGTAATCCTCGGCCACTTATTCTGTCAATCCCTTCTATTCTGCTTCGGCTAAAATCTTTTCTTATTTCTGCATTCTCTATTTCTGGGGACATCAGTTTTATCTCTCCATGAAGCAGGAGGTGGATCACTAGGTGCTGCTACTGATGGAATTGTTGGGGTCAACTTATTCACAAATATTTCAGCCCATAAGGCTCGTTTCAAAGCCTCACTATAGGTCTGAGGGGGCTGGGCACCTGCCATTACATCTCGAGCTATTTCTGGTTTCAGCCCATGCACAAACTTATCCCTCCTCAATTATGGTGTGCTTACTATACCGAGTGCGAACCTCTCCAAGGAATTAAACCTCACTGAATATTCCTTCACCGAACTGGACCCCTGCTGCAAGCTAATAAATTCTTGGGTCTTCTCATGAACCCGTTCAATCGTTTGGTATTCTGCCTCAAACAGTCGTCTAAAATCTCCCCAAGTCATAATGGCTGTCTCATGCACATACTCCATCAACTCTAGGGCTGCAAACGAACCGAACAGTTTGCGAACGTTCGTTGTTCGTTCGATTACTGTTCGATAATGTTCGCGAACATTTGTTCGCGAACAGTTCGATAATTGTTCGATAATATGTTCGATCGAGTTCGAACAGGGGTTGTTCGTTCGATTATGTTCGCGAACACTATACGTTCGACTAATTCATCCGTTCGCGAACAATAGTTCGATTGTTCGTTCGTTTATGTTCGAAAAACATGTTATGCATTATTATAATTAAAAAAAAAAATTCCATTTTTATATTATGTTTGATTGAGTTTGGATGAATTTTTTTTAATGGTAATCAATAATAAAATATTATGATACTTTTGTTTTTCTTATATATATAATATGTTTGGATTTTTTTTTTCCAAATGTCATCAATAATTAAATATATAAGTATATAGCATTTTAATTAAAAAGTAATAAATTACTATGATACATAGCATGACAAATTTAATAACATAATAAATTGTATAATCAAGTGATAAATAATATAGTAAATCCAATAACATAATAGCTTCATATTTTTCTAAATGTAATCAATAATTAAATATTATAAGATAACATTTCAATTAATAAATAATAAATATAGTATGGTAAATTGATAAACATAACATATTGTATAATCAAGTGATGTATAGCATACCAAATTTAATAATATAATAGTTTAATTAAACCTAAATTAATCACACATTTGTATTGATCACATATTACAATAAACTCTCATATCACTATGAATTTATAGGTGTTGGTACAAAATAAATATGTAGACAGTAATGATAATATATATATATATATATAATATTAATCACACATATGTATTGATCATATATTACAATAGATTTTCATTTTACTCTAAATTTATGGGTGTTGATACAAAATATATATGTAAACATTTAAAATATTTATGATAATTTATGTAATGATAATAAATATATGATAACCTATAATTTTGGTAATTTCATAACATATTTAACCTATGATTAATATATGTATGATAATAATTTTGTATATACACAATTACACATTATATATAACAAATTAATCACACATATGTATTGATCATATATTATAATAGGCCATCATTTCACTATGAATTTATGGGTGTTGATACAATATATATATATGTATGTATGTATAACAAATTAATCACACGTATGTATTGATCATATATTACAATAGACTTTCATTCCACTATAAATTTATGGGTGTTGATACAAAATATATATGTAAACATTTAAAATATTTAGGTATTTACAAATTATCGAACGAGTTAGTCGAACAAGTATTTACAAATTATCGAATGAGTTAGTCGAACGAACAAGTTAGTCGAACATGTTAGTCGAACGAACACGAACACGAACACGAACAATCGAACACGAACAATCGAACATGCTTATCGAACAATTTTCGAACGGGCCCGTTCGTTCATGTTCGGTTCGATTGCAGGCCTAATCAACTCCCACCAAATCCGGGCATCACCCTGAAATAGAAAACTAGCATACTGGATCTTCTCCTGGTCTCTCATGGGAAACAGTATCATCGTACGTTCCACGGACCTAATCCACTCTTCTACTACTATTGGGTCCGTTGTACCTTCGAATTCTGACGGCTGATGTTGACTGGGTAACCCATATATAGGCTCAAGACGGCTTTGTCCTACAGGGGGTATCGACCTCTCCCTCTCCTCTCTGGTGGTCGATACAATGACTGGTGTTTCAACTCTCTTTGATATCGGTCTCCCTTGACTCTCTACCATAACCTGCTGTACAATACTACGAATCCTTTTTTCATCGAGGACAGGGGGAGTAGGTCCTGACGGGTTGGACGGTTCACCCGCACTTACTGCATTCTTTTTACCTAATCGAGTCATACGTCTCATCTAAATCACATAGCACCAACACTATTAGTCAACTAAGTTAACTCATCTACGATAACTATGGAAAGAAACAACTTACAACGGTCGGCTACGGTACGTCAGTGCGGCGGGAGAGGCACATTGTCACATCCCAAAACCATGCTTTGATACAAAAAATATAATATTCTTTCTAGCTAGTATACTTGAGAGATATAAAATGAAAACTCACTAAATATATCATATAAAAACATATATGGACCCAAAAATAGCATTACTTTTATATACAAATCTCTACATCAAGTACCATAGTCACAAAGATAAACTCAAAATTATAGTCCGATAGTGTTGCCTTTCTCCTCCACTACTTGACATCCCATCCAACCGCATCTCATCTACTACCTGCAAAAACAGTGAAATCAACGGAGTGAGCACTAATTGCTCAGTAAGTAAACCCACAACACTTCTCTTCTTTCTCCGTTACTCAGATTCTGAATTTCTTTCCTTACACCAAGCTTCTTTATTCTTCTCTGTTTTCTACGATTCTAGTTTCTTACTTACCGATATGTAAGCACAAATAGGAAAACTAACTCGGAATAATAGAAATGACATGATGCATAAACTTTTCTATGAATGCATTTTCTTTTATGTTTTTCTATTTTCTTATTCTATTTTTCTTTATTTTTCTACGTTTCTTTCTTTTTCTGTTTCTATTATTTTCTTTCTTGCTTTTTCTATTATTTTCTTTCTTTCTTTCTTTTCTATTATTTTCTTTCTTTTCTTTTCTTTCTTTGCCGATCGGGCTCGGTGGAGGCATGGATTCAGAACCCTAGCCGTGTGAGTGTATTCTCAAATTCTTTCTTGGGTACAGTCCTCATTCACATGCACTTTTTACGGACAGTCCACATCCACATGCACTTCTTACGGACTGTACAAATTCTTCTTTCTTATTTTGAGGCTGCTCACTAAAGGCGGCGTGCATGCGCGGCTATTGTTCTTCTCTGTCACTCACGGGTTCCCCATCGCAACAACCTTCTGTTCTCTTATCTTTTTATATTTCTTGAAACAAAATTTCAGATTTGAATTGTTCTTTAATTATATTTCTTAAAACAATAATTCTACATTTAATTTCTTTTCTTTCTTTCTCTTTATTCTTTAATGTTCTCATACATGTATATGTGCATGTAA